AGTCACAGAAATCCCTTCGTAATGCAACCAGCATCACGTACCAGAAGCGAACCACAAACAGCTTTTGTCTGTCGCGATAAAAGGACGTCACAACATCGCCGCCGACGCCCACTCACCGCCCGCCCGTCGTCTGCTTGCTATTTATTATACCTGGTCCCCCACGTCAACCCGACATCCCCCGCAATAATCCACACGTGAAACCATTCCGGCACGAACTGATTACCAGCAGAGTCGACGTCCACCCACACTGGCGCGGTTCCCTCCCACTCCTTGTCCAACGCAGTTCATTTTTTTAAACCTTCCGTGTTCGAATTTCACTGAAAATATATCGAAACATGTGCCGTTTTCATGACACGGCGTCTTTGATAAGAAATCCGAAATCCCCGATTACAGACGTAGCGCGCACCAGCCCCTGACACACCGACCACGCGTCTGGCTTCCGGTTCCTTCATTTCCCTTTCAACCTAAACGAATGCGTTCTGAGTGGCATGTTGTCGTCTTCTGTTTGTCTTGTGGCGTCGTTGGACGCGCGTGATAAAATTCCCGCCACTATATTTTGTTGGGGGCTAGACTGTAATTCTGCTTAAACGGGTTAAGTACGCCGAAGGAAATTTTATTAATGTCTGAATCACGTTTCAGACGTAATTTTGTTTAACTCTGCTGGACTGATTTTCCCTTTCACTAATTGCCATTTGTATGTTTTTATGTTTTCCCGAATTACGTTTAATTTCCTTGATTTAGATCCAAGGCGCTGAACTCTGCTGAAAGGCTATTATTTGAGAAACTGACATGCTTCCTCCCCCTTCCGAAGACACCGCCCCCACACTAGGGGATAAATCCGCAGTTAAACATGCTCCGACGTTAATGCAAAGTCGTGGAATCAAGCCGTACCGATCTCGTAGCGCACAAAACTTGACAATTAATAAACACGTTTTTCTTAAGTTCTTGACGAAACGTCGGCAAAACACTTGTGTCAAAACCGCATTCACCTCGTCTACGCGGTGTGGGCCAGTGTTTCTAAAACCGTGGTCCGCGGAATCCCGGGGTTCCTCGAAGCAGTCTCAAATGACTCGCCTTCTTTGCAACGCTCTGACTTTACGAGAACAGTTAATTCCACGCGTAACGGGACTGACCTTCCGAGGCACAGCAAACTGGTTGAAGGAAACAAAGAATCATCGTAGTAGCTCGACATTGGTGACAAACCCGCCCCTGAACTGCGAGCCGTCTTCCACGAGGCCGGCGGCCACACTGGGTCTGGGTCACAGCTCCAACGCCTCACAACTGTCGTTCCAAAGCTAATCTTACGTCCATTAAAATTTTGACAGTGCATATCAAAATCCGAGAAGAAAAAACTAGTTTTTGGACATAAGTTATCTTGTAAAAGTGGCATAACTTCTGCCCTAACTGAGATACAGAGTTCACCACAAAGCTGACAAAATCCCGTATCTAATGACTTACTGCATCGTCATATTCAGCGCAGAAACGTTTTAAAGCCATTCGAATTTGACCTTTGATGTTGCATTTCTGAAAATGCTGGCAAAAAGTGAGCATGTAACATTTGTTTAAAACATCTGCGACCGCGTTTTGTTGATTCTCGCCTCACTTCTTCTGATGACGCAATTTCAAGCGACACATCTCTTTTCAGTTCTTTATATTCATTAATTCTGATTTAAACCTCTGCAGCAAACAGAACATCTGCTGAGACAGAATTCATCAATCAGCTGAACATTGTGGGCACGTCCAGACGTCTCTGCCCTGCGTCATTTGGCATTTAGCTGACAGCCATGAGTCACACGCAGTCCGACCTGAAGCCTCTGCAGCTCACTGTTCCTTGGGCAGTCAAAATGTTACAGACTATGTCCACCGAGTGTGTTCACAATTAAGGCTGAAACCCATTTATTGAAAGTGGAGATGGTAATGTCGTAAACAACTAAAGGAACACACTTCCTTGGATAACCGAAAAACGCGATGACAATGTATCAAATGAACAAGAAGACGCCAGCGACGAGATTGAAGAAATTTGCGAAGATCATTGCAACGCAATCCTTAAAAAAAAGTGTTTGCAATCGATTGGTGGGCCAGAAAAAGGGCCTGGGCGAGGAAAGCCCCCCCCCCCCCGCAAACAAATAAGCGAAAAGGCTGTTGAAACGAGAGTTCTTAACATTCATGAAACTACCAATTGAAGTTGAATTCCTCCATAGCCGGATTCTGAGATTTTAAACCAGTTAAGGAAAAATTTAAAGATTCAACAACTCCCAAAAAGTTAGAAGGCGATAATTTTAAGTATTCAGGAAGTCTTCCGGGGCGCTTCTAACTAAATCATTACGACAGCGAAGGGGCCTTTTACGGACCAGCGCACCCTTGTCCTCACATCACCCGAAAGCAGGCAAAACTTTAAACGATGTTACTTATGAAGTGAACCGAGTGACGTCTATCAAAGTCAGTGGCGTCCAAACGATAGTCGTAATTAAAAATTCGCATCCAGGAGTCAAAGCGTCCCACGAGCTGGCGCAGGTGGAGTGCGCGAAAATCCGACATCAAATCATTTTCTTAATGAACTTGGTAGTCGGACATTCTTCGAGACAAGATCACAAAATATTCTAGAAGCTGCAATACAAAGCATTTTCTACCGCCGACGGTTCCAAAACCCCTTTCTGTCCCCTCTCGCTGAGCAAGGATTATTGACAAAGGAAATGAGGAACGCACCGACGTTTCGACAGACAAGGGACTAGAAGATAAGCGCATCTGAAAACATTTGAACGGTACAAGTTGAAGGAAGACATGGCACGTGGCTTCAAGTCGGAGACACGAGTTTCTCTCAACTGACGCAAATATCTTCGAGCCGAACTTTCTACATCAGCTGCAGAACGTCGTAGGTTCCGGCTCGGAGTGTGTGTGTGTTTAAGCAGACTTAAAAAAACAAAAAGCACCAACCAACACTCGAACCCGATAACCCTTTCGAAATTCAGGAACAGCTGTCAGAGCGAATTCCACCCCGCCATTCGCTCGGAGATGGCTGGAAAAGCACGAAACCGGAATATTCGATGTCCCAGTCGATATTCAGACCTGACACGTCCTAGACAGGTCTAGAATTTACAAGCGACGGCTCCTGAGTCAACGAGCTCGTTATGAATACGTCACATGGAGACTGGAATTACAGACGGTCTAAATGGCCTGTGTAACACACAAGTGACTCCGGGAACTCAGGTAAGAGCGCATGAAAAGAAGAAACGAACAGGAAGTTCTATATAAAACAATTATTAATATTTTAAATTTGCGACAGTTACTTTACAAAGACGGACTTAGGGCTTAACGGCTTAACGAGCAATAACTAATAATGGATACCCACAGCTTAATTATTACCTTTTGATCAGCACGACCATGAAGATTGCGCAAGCAGGTAGCCAAAGTGCAATAATTTTGAACAGACTGTACTCATCGCGTCTACGAACAGTGGCCCGAGCATAACGGAAAACCGAAGACACGTGAATCATCATCGGCTGCGCCCGACTCACATTCCGTTCGCTCCACACATGACGTCACGCACGGAAACACTCTCGTATTTGCGCACGCCAACTGATTTCGCATTCTCAGAATGATGCTTTCTACGAATCTCTCTTCACTGCTCTCCTACGCCAACCATCGGCGTCTCTTTCAAGGCATCCGCCACGAGGGGCTGCGGGGGCTCGAGCTGAGATGCGACCCGGGTACTTCCCGAACAAACACGAGGGGCAGCGCCGTCGCACATAGGTCAGATGAACCCAAGTCAAGAGAAAGTGAGTCGCCCCATTACGAGGGAACGAGCCTGCTGACAAGGATGAACTGCCCTGAGAGCGAACCGGGGCCTCCGTGCGACACGGCACCACCAGAGATGTGACCTGCAGCCCACGACAAACACTGTCCGCATTCCAAGGAAATAAATCGGTAAAAAGGGAGCAAATCTGATAACGACAATACACAGGAGCGAAAAAATTAATCTACTGTGTCATATGGACGCCGACAGACCACCAAAAAACTAAATCGGATACAAAATAAATGCTTTTGAACATAACAGATTATTACTAGAATTCCTTACGATTTTGGTGCGATTGTCGTAGGAATTTAAAAACACTGCATTTCCGAACGAGACTAGACTTATCCTACGTTATCTAAGATGGTATCTGGACCGAAGGGGCGGAGAGTACCAGTAATATGGAAGTAGGTTGAAAATTCCTCCTTGGAATGGACACTTTTTGGGACTCGTTATGCAATTTCTTCGGTCCACGCACCTTGTTCTCAAACACCCTCAGTTTGTGACGTCTCCTTAACGTGACAGACACCCACGAAAAGCTACAAATCAAATCATAAGTTCTGAACGAGAGATCCTGAAATCATTCCCCGATTCAGTCCGGTCTTCGTGAACGCAATTTTTCAAAGAATGTGTTACCCACATTTACTCTGAGAGTTATGTTCTGTGGTGCGGTGAGTAGACCAACTTCTTTGCTAGCATCTAATGGAGCTTTGAGCCCAACAATTATCCTTATAACCAGTGGCGATCATTTGGAAGAGAAGTTCTTGTCCTCCTATTATTTCCGTCTGTCTGTCCGTCTGTCTGTCTGTCTGTCTCTATAATTACGTTTTGCAGAAATTCATCGGAGTACCTGCGGAGCACATAATGTTGGAGGGCGGTCTCGTTATTTCCTTCGCATTTTTGACAGGACTGTTACGAAGATGAAACGAACAGAACACGGATTATCCTCCGTCAAATTATCGTCCGCCTTTTCAGATGCAATTTTTGTATCAGAATGAACTTTTTCTTTCATTCTCGGGCCCCAGATCGATATTTCGAGTGAGAAATTTCGGTGAAATCCAACGCCCGTTTACAGTATCTGCTGAAATCAGACAAGAAACTCACACGCAACGTGGACTGGAAGTAAAGACTGCAATACCTAATTATGGATGTTGGTTCCGACGTTTACGAGTTGTTGCAAGGTGTGATCAAACTGTACACAGCGTCTTACCGTACTCTCCGTGGACAGTGCAGAGCTGCGCATGCGCGGGACACAGCTCCGGCTGCTGAGGGTAATAGTCTTGGTAGTAGTCATATTGAGAGCAATACATGTCATCATGAGTTTCCGCCGTCTGTCCTGCAACCATAGCCTTCAACATGAGCCAGACAACCAGCGGGGGTACCACACCACCCTTGAGGGACAGCAAGCAACGAGAGTGGAGGTGCAGATGACGGGATGGCCAGCATCGACAACAGAAGGCGCACGTGTGAGATTCTGGGCGCTGCACGGAACACTGGGCTCTTGTATTTAATCTTATCGCCACCGGACAGACCAAGTGCACACAGAACACAGATCACAGTGAATAATGAACACAGAAAACTAGTAATATCACAGACGATATCGATTTCAGACTTGTCACACGAACGTCCTTGCAATGAAACCCGAAGGCGTCGCTGCTGCACTCGACGAAGTGATTCTTGAGACACAGAACAAAATCACGGAGGAATCTTATCCAGAAGGCATCGTCTCTCCCACTTGACAGTCGTCGATGTTTCTGTCAGCTTCCTGAATGTCCGTTCTATACCAAAGAAACAAAACGCACAAATAAAACAAGGACTTACATATCGGCAACAAATGCGGCTGCCAACGTTTACACTGAAAAACCTCATGGATACCAACCTGGCACTGCACACTTTCCGTCGCCAGGAAGTCGATTCCTTCACGACCGCACCGACAAACAAACGAATGTGGCCACTCACGTTCAATCCGTCTGGCCAATAAATTACTTCTGTTAAAGCACGTGATTGGTTAGTCAAAGTTCACCGAACTATTCCATTTTCGAAAATCGACATTTAAATAGCATTTACTGTTAGCGTCCAAGGGCTGCAGTAGACCGGATGTTAAAATCATATAAAGGAAGCCGGTAAGTTACAGAAGAGCAGCTCACTTGGCAAAAAGCTGCCAAAACTTTACTCGTTCCAAATATTTACAGTCCGCGACTGTAATCTTGAGACTTCCGGGGCGGAGGAGGAAAGACAGCGTCTGCCTTTAACGCTTCGGACCTCCTGCATTCCTTGCAAGTCTCAAGATTACAGTCGTGGACTGTACCTACTACACGCCCCCAATTTTACCGGGGTCCATGTTTGTTAACTGCGGCATCACAAATCGGATTCCTACGTAATATCACGGCAAGGAACTTGTAAGACAGCATCCTGTTGAGAATTCTTAGAACTGCTATGTATTTTACATCAGTGAACACGCAACTCAAAAATCCGTCATGTTCTTGGCACTGTTTGCTCCGTTAAGTAGTTAATAATACACACTCAACGTTGAAACACGACCACGTTCACGCGAATAACTGAAATCTTAACCAAACAACTACAGTAACATGTCCTAAGGACAGACAAAGTATCTTTGTTATTCTGTAGACAGGCATCGGCGAGCACGCGTAACTCCGACCGACGCAGACGCCAAGGACGACAAACGACCAGCACATCGCACACCTTGCGCAGGCAACTCTAGGGAAGAAAATTTTAACAGCGATGACCCCCCCCCCGAGATCATCGCACTTCTACGTTCCCACTCAACACGTTACAGAAATTATAAAAGATTGTGAAACAAACGCAAACGTAAGAACACAGAAAGAGATTTCGAATCCACGTCGGTAGGCGTAGGGACGTTTGCGTGCCTTCAAGCAGCCTCGCCAAAAGCCTGTTTTAACGTCACACACAGCTTGAGAATTACGTCTGAATCGGGAACAGACCAGCCAGCTTAATCCGTCGTCGCTACTAGCCGGATTTAGATCAAATTTGGTATCGGCGGTCTACTACCTACACTGACAGCTGTGGGCCGAATTTCATTTGGCTCTTTTAGGCAGTTCTCCGTCGTTTCTCAACATCCACCACACCGAGTCTCTCAGTCCGATTCTATCACTGCGTCTCTTGACGAAAATCCAGCAACGCCTCAGGTCCAAACATGCCTTCATGCACATTCTTTGACAAAAATCCCTAAAATTAATAATTTCCTCTTTGATACAGGAATTCCATACAATGAACTAAGTTTAAAGATATTTTCGAGGGTCTTTGCGTCTGTCTCCTCAGAGAACGCAAAATAACTTGACCATCTGCGTACGGCAGACATATGACCCGCGCCCTGACAATTGAGGCAGAAAACACCCCTGAAACGTTGGTAAACGTCGACCAAACTACAAAGCGCAACAAACCAGAAGTCGTTTTCACCTTAACAAACGTTAATAGACGACGCAGACCAAGAAAAGCGAAAATTGTCCACGAATGTGGCTGTTGGATGCTGTTACATGAGAGTCTCCTAACCAATTGCAGGCAAGTTAAATTGTGTGTTCTCCTTCGAAGGTAAACGCGGGCACACGAGGACAATGGAATTATTTACTGCACGACTGTACACGGTTTATAAAGGAGGTGAACGGCTTTCTGAGAACGGATCACTCCGCATGTCAGAAGAACAAGGGGCTTCTATACCGGAAATACGTCACTGAATCCCGTCACCACGAAGTAATGTCGAAGAATGAGAAAGTGTTCTGAGCTTGGGAATGCGACACATTCCGTAAACACTCAGCAGCGACAAGTTAATAATAACTGAGTCGTAATGCAACCAGGAAATGATAAACTGAGGACGGAAGACGCATGTGTCGTCGCTATTAATTCCGACAGTCAAGTAAACACGCTGGAGCGTGAAGGCCAATGGAAATGATCTCATCTCACTCTCTCTCTGCGTGCGATCCAGCCTTCTTACGACCAGCTGACTCCGACAAACAGCGTCACGGCCTCTCCTCTGCACAAAGACCGGAATGCAATCCCCGGCCACCTCCGATACGACTTCAAGACGCGGTCCTGTATACATAAGACAGTTCACCGCCTCCCAACAGAAGTTGCGATAATCGCAATCAGTGCTCCACGTAACGGAATGATGGGAAAATGGCGCGCACAATATCGGGAACGGGCGAAAATCTCGAAACAAATCGAAAATGTAGAAGAAAGAATAGTCTAGAAGGAGTTGTTCATCGTCACACGGGCAAGAGTGGCAAAGAATTTAGTGGTGACGCTGACAGACAAGACACACGAAGAATTAAAGAAATGAACCTGCGAAAACTTGCGACACTCACGAACAAGTGACAGACCAACAGCGCACAGCTAAGAGGGCGGTAGTTACGGGAAGTGTCCACCAGGCCACTCGTCGACATGCCACGAACAAGCAGGGTTTTGTTGCAATGCAACGCCAGCTTCTCTTAATGTTCGTGGTGAGGTAAGCGCTCACTGAGGAATGTAACCAGTCAAAAAGACTGAAGTTCCCGTTCCCCCAGACATCTGGCGGCGTCTACGCTATAACCTGACCAGATACGCCCTTCTAATGACAGCTACGTTCATTCAGACACAAAACTGTCTCCGTCAAGACGCCACCTTCCTGTGACCTCGTCTTAAAATATGTATCTTGGCCGAAGGCATTGGCGTCTTCAGACTGGGGGTTGTTACTACGAATGCTGGAAGAGGACTCCATCACAAAACTTTCATTTGCAAAACAAACTTTTCCCGCATGGGTTGTCCGCAGTTGAACCCATGAAGAATAGAACTCCATCAATTGAAGGCCTCCATGACTGGGGGAAGTTGGTCGCGAGTCTTCAAAACTACGACCTGCACTTGCCTTACAACGGGAGAAAAGCACGAACTCCTGAATGCAGCGTAAATCTTGGCCTCTTAAATTAAAGGAAGAACAGCGATTTGAGGTGTCTGAGGAAAAACTGGGCAACAAGAAGTTAGGAAAAATAGCAAAACGAGGGCCTTTGTAGTTCACCAAATAATGACAGGATCATCAGATCAGAGGACGATGACATGCAGCTCGCGCGGGAAAGCCCGAGGGGCAAAGACCACTCGGGAGACACATGCACACGTGAGACGGAACATTAATCCGGGTTTTACAGGGTTGGCAAGAGTGGAATGCACTCACCTCTGACGGGCGACCTCGTCATGAACGTTCCGGTTTCATAACAGGCGGATTTTAACCAAAACTGCGACGCGCCAACAGGTTGCAGTGAAACTTCTCAACGTGAAATTCCACGAAAATTCAAACAGGCAGACGTGGCGAAGCCGAAAGGCACGTTTCTGTAGAGACCGTTCGTTCCGAGCGTGAAATTCACAATACTTAGACGACACTCAAGACAACGCGAATATTGTTCGTGTGTATTTCATACCTTGGATAATTTAAACCGCGTTGTTCACAAGTGGCACATCCCGGATGAAAACAGAATCATGAAAATAAGATATTTTCTGGACGTGCTCTTAACAAAGCCCACAGCAGAGAAGGAATTTGAAGTACAGAATTCCAACAAATCGCTCACGGAACGAGGCGACATTCCAAGGAGGAGAGCCACTACCCCACCCCACCCCTCCGACCGGTACAAGGGGGCAGCCAAAGCAAGATCCAACCGGTACATACGGTACCACAGTCTGGCACGCACTCAACACGGCAGAGGCGAGGCTTTAAACGGGAACATTTTTATTTGGGCACTCCACAGAATGACGAAATGCGCCACCTGCTTTCACCAGAAAGAAGAAATTTTACAGGACAGAATCAAATGCACTCGTAGTCGCTTCCTGTAACGCTGACAGCTGACAATCGTTGTAATTCCGGTAGCAAAATGTCGCCCACGATGTTAAAAAAATCAGTTGACATTTTTCCGTTAATCCACCCCACATTTACGTTTCCCTCGCAGAAAGAATAAATTCTAACAAAAACAAATGCAACATCACAAAGAAGCAGCACGTATCTCAATTGAAAATCATGACAACTTCAGATTGCCAACTGCAATGCGGTAGTAATGTCCGTAACGACGAAGGAGAAGTTTATTTAAATGAAAAAGTGGAAACCGCAACTTCCTTCAACAACCTACTGAATGTTTCCTGACAACGAGTCCTGAACGCAATGTACCCAGGATTCACGTATCAGCCACAAGCAGCTGAAGATATCAAAGCTACGCTGAAACACACACGCCCATGTTAAGACGTGCAACATAATTACCACATAAACATCAATGCGTGTGTCTGTTATCACGGTCACTGACTTTCCAGAAACAATCCAAATCCTAAAGTTTGCGTGCAACTGTACCTACGACTTAGCTCTTGCTGAAAATTTGATACTGAAATAAAAATGAACACTTTCTTCAGACAAAAAGAAAACCCTGAACTTCTCATGGAAAAACTTACCAAACCCAGTAAGAATGCCACGTCTTAAAGAAAAGAACCTTAGATACCATCGAAGATGGCGTCCTCTGGGTTGTCGCGCTGTTAAGTCTGGTAGAACTTTACCGACGTGATGATGCAGGCAGCAAGGACGGTAAACTTCTACCAGACTAAACAGCGCAACAACCCGGAAAACTGCCATCTTCAGGCCGAAGACCCCGCCACATCAACTCCCAACCAAGACGTCATCTCTCCATGCGTGCTACATACTTTCCCAGCATAAATTGTGCTGAACCTGATCCCGCAGACAACTGTTCCCTCCTTTACAGCGACAGACGAGGCTCTGTGGAACATTTCGGAAAATGCT